GTTAGGGTTACATGGGGTCCCAAAATTGCACTTGGCATGACACTCCAGGCTACATGCTCTGTGTTTGAGCATGAACATAGTTTGGCTGTCTTCATTGTCAAGGGAGCTTAGGATGCATAGCTGATAGGCTGGATAGCCTTGATACAGGGTAAATTTGTAGAGAGGCATTTTCAGCATTTAAAACCTTGCGCGCAAGGTGTGAGTAGACCAATAAAGATAATTTAATGGCTTCAAGTAATTGTCTAATGTGCTTAGTTGCAAGCGAACGTCAGCTGCAGAGAAGATGTGAACGCTGTGCGCAATGTTGAGAAAAAAAGCGCCCGGAGACCCCACGTCTGCCAGGCGAGCTTGTCCGAGACCCGACAAGCCTGTCGAACGCCAGCCGGACGAGAAAAGGGGCCCGGGTTAGGGTCGCGGGTCATTTCACATGCGGGGGCGGGCGCCGACCTGGCCCGGCTGTCCGCTCGCTCGGTCGCTGGCTCTGTCGCCTTCCCCCGCCGCGACTCGACTCGACTCGACTCGACGGCGGGGCAAGGCTGGATCCGGTAACCGATGCCGGCCGGTCGAAGCAGGGGCAGAGACAGAGGCAGGCAGAGGGCAGACCCGTGCGTGCGTGTGTGATTGCTCGCCCCCGCATATCCTGACCTCGCCGGGTCGGCCGTCGCGATGCTTTCTTCCCGACTCCATCCATCCTCCGTCGCCCTCGATCCCGTCCACCGCACGTACTCACCCAAGCCACCGAGGAAAAATCGATACAATGTCGGCGCTGCAGCAGATCATCCTTCACCCGTACCTCAACCAGCTCGTACGTCTATCGCGGCCCCCCCGTCTCCTCGTCGTCGTTGCGCCTTTGCCGCTGCGCTCGCTCGCTGTAGCTCTCCCTCCTATCGCTGTCGCTGCCATCGTACTGACCGGCGTTCTCTGCGCTCTCCTGACCTCGCCACGCCTCGTGTGCCCGCACAGCTGCGGTTCTGGTCTACGACCGTGGGCCGTGACAAGACTTACCGTACCATCCAGTATGCCGCTCGCTTCCTCGCCTGGTACGAGTACCGCAAGGGCGCCACCAAGGAGACGGTCGCCCGCCTCACCACGATCAAGTCGCAGCTCGGCCTCAGCAGGAAGCGTGAGTGGGCAGTTTTGGCAGAGTTGGCGGCAGCAGCGGCGGCGGCGGCGGCGGCGAGACGGCCTGCTCTGTGTAACAGGCCAGCGCGATGCAGTGTCGAGTGGATGGCGTGCCCTGCCCTGGTTCGCAGCGCTGACCGACCCGTTTCCGTCTCATCCGCTTCCTCCCCCCCGCTCTCGACTCCTCATTCGCTATGCTGGCTTCGCCTTTCGCCCTGCCCGTCCCGCCCGCGCCTCGCCAGTGATGCGAGTGGGCAAGTTCCTGGAGCACTTCCAGGCGGCGCTCAAGGCGACGACGATCCAGGATCCGGTGGTGTCGTACGCCGCCATTGGCCGCCAGCTCGGCTACGGCTTCTACCTGATCCTCGACACGCTCCAGTGGCTGCACTCGTCCAAGGTCTACACGTTCTCTGCGCCGACGGCGGCGTCGATTTCCAAGAACGCGGCGCGCTTCTGGATGACGGGATTGACCTTCTCGCTCCTGTCGGGCAGCTACAAGACCTACGTCCTCAACTCGCGCCTGGCCGCCGCCAAGCGCCCCAGGGCCACGGCGGAAAAGGAGGCCGAGAGAAAGGTCGAGCTGGCCCAGATTTCGACCGAGCAGGCCGCGGTGCGCTACCAGATGACCCAGGACGCCCTCGACTGGGTCATCCCCGCCACGGGCGCCGATGTCCTCGCCCTCGACGAGGGCATCCTCGGCCTCGCCGGCTGCGTCTCGAGTCTCATGGGCGCCAGGACCCAGTGGAGGGCCGTCAACGGTCCCGCTGGCGCCAAAAAGTAAACCTCCGGGATGCCTGGAACCCGCACGCCACGCCGTGCTCTGCTGCGCCGCTCTACGATCGTCTAGACCGATGCGTCCTGCGAAGCCCGCGTCGCCTCGGGGCATGCCGTCGGCCAAGGATGTTGAAAACCCTTCCTACATCCGCGCCCCCGGATGCGTTCTACTTTCGCAATCTACGCCTTTAATCATTGAGTTCGAGGGGGCCAACCTGTGTGTCGCAAGGCCAGGAGGGCCTCGGCGTCGGCGTGTGCGGCGCGCGGAGACGTCTCGACGCTCCTGGGTGTGTGCAGCGGGGGCTGGTGTGGGCGTTGGAGCGAAACCAGGCCGAGGTGGTGCTGGGCTAGGGCCAGGCCCTGCCGACGTAGAGACGGCCAGCCCGCGTCTAGGCTCGCTCGTCCGCGTCGTCGTCGTCATCGCCGTCGAGGCGGCCCAGGAGCCTCTCCACCCGGCGGCGGTGGCGGGAGCGGGGGCGACAAGAGCACGAACACATCGCTCGCCTCCGTCAACGAAGGAGCAGGTCCCCTACTATAGGGGCGGGAAGCGAAGGAGCCGCCCCCGAGTCATCTGCCTCGTCGACGTCGGCGTTGACGTCGTTCTCGATGCTGTGCGCACGGAGCTGACGGCCGAGCGAGCGGATGGGGAGGGGGTACGCCTCACCCGACCCGTTCTCGTCCGCACGCTGCGGACTACGGCCTGCCTGCCTGCCTGCCTTCAGCCCCTGTCCCTACGCCTACCCTCGCCCCATCCTTGCACCTGCCCGTGCCCCTGCTTCGTTCTCTCCTGTCCCTCAGCGCACGGTAGGGACAGCGCGCGCACCCGACCGAATGACGGCGGTGCGGTGTGATACACCCCAAAAGGGGTCTGTTCTGCAGCCCAGGCGAACACAGCACGAGCGCAAACGAACGAAAAGCAAGGCTGGACGAACAAAGGCACGGCTGGACGAACGAAGGCACGGCTGAACGAAAGCTAGCAAGCAAGGGCTGGGTCTGTCTGCGATACGAACGAGTGTGGGGACGGATTGCGATGCGGGGCGAAGCGAGAGCGGGATCTATAAGGGATACATGTGGCGAAGGGGCAAAGGAGTGGGGTAAGGCGATACAAAGACACGAACGACTCGATTCGAGACGAGACTGGGCTGGGCCGCTGCGATGAGTCAAGGGGAGGAGCGATGCGGGGGAGTGAGGGAGAACGGGCTAGGGACGATCGCTGAGACCCGACTGGGATCGTGGGGAGAGCAGCGGAAAGACGATGCGAGGCAAGGCAAGACGGGGCGCTGTGCTGTGATGCGATGCAATGCGTTGCGAGGAGGGACTAAAGATGATCGCTCAGACTCGACGCCACCGAGCGGCCGGTGGGGCTCGAGAGCATGGTGCTGTGCGCCTCTGTCGTCGTCCCGCTCGCACCGGCTGCCTCCTTTTCCACATCGCCGCCCCAGCCGCGCTTCGACGGCTTGGTGCCGACGAGCGTCGACGCCGTCATGTAGCTGTCCTTGCTCTCTGCTCCCTCCTCTTCGGAGCCGCCGCGGCCGCCGCCGACGTCGTCTTCGGTCTGCTGCATCTTGACCTGCGCCGCCTTGATGTCTGACGGGATGTAGGCCGCCGGGTTGTACAGCACGAACACCAGGACGGCGAGCGAGACCAGCGCCGCGTCGAATGCTGCGCGTGGTGGCGTGAGGGGGCAAGGCAAGGGAAGAAGGGCGAGGGCGAAGGAGAGGAGACTGTCAGATCTCGTGCGTCGAGCCCTGCCTCGCCATCGAGGCAATGCCGTCAGATCTGGCACGGCTCTGTGCGCCGCAACCGACGACTCACCATAAAACGTCCACTCGCTCTCGGAAATGACGCCAATCCAGCCGACGGCCATCTCGACGGTGCGGTAGACGCTGCGGAGGAAGATGAGCCAGCTCGAGACGAACGTGGCGAGGATAAAGGTGCGGGTGCGCGCGTTCCAGACGGCCTCGTCGCGCGGGGGGTCGCGGCTGACGCGGTAGCAAAAGCTGGCGAGGAGGAAGTTGAAGAGGGCGTAGCCGAGCAGCTGGATGGCCAGGCCGACGACGACAATGTTGCCGCCCGGGTTGGGGTCGCGTCCGTCGATCTGGGCCACGGCCGCCACGCCGCTGCCGCCGCCCTGGACGGCGAGCGAGGCGACGTCGAGCGTGACGAAAAAGGGAATGATGAGAGACGGCTTGATGATCGAGTACTTGGACGGGAAGATCGAAGTCAGCTTGCCCAGGATGGCAAAGTCGATCTGTGCGCGTCGGAGCAGGGCGACCGGGGGATGGGCGGGCACGGCGAGACAGGAAGTTGGCAGGGGCGGGGAAGGATCGTCGGTGCAGACGAGGCGACGGGAGGGTCAGCATGCGTGAACGGAGGGCGCGAGAGGATGAGACGAGACCCGGAACTCGGGCCGAGCGCTCGGACGATGCCGTCCAGTCCACCAACCCGCGCAAGGGCGTGCCATCGTATTCCCGTTGTTCAACACCACTCGGCCCGCGACGATGCATCGAGGAAGAAAGAAGCGAGGCCGTTCACGACATCGCCCCGCACGGCGACCACGCCGTACTCTTACTCACCGCCGCGAAGAACGCCGGTGTGATGACGAGGATGCACTGCATGGCAATGTAGGGGTTGACGAGGAAGGGTTCAAAGTGTCCCCAGATGCGGAGGGCGTGCCCGGCCGTCTCGAGGAGGCATCCGAGGGTGAAGACGGCCATCCAGGCCTGCTTATAGCGCAGGTTCTGGTAGAGGTGGAGCGACGAGAGGATGGCGAAGACGATGACAAAGACGATGGGCGCCACGAGGTAGGGCCGGTAGCCGTATCCGGAGAAGTGGTAGTCGACCGCCTCGGGCGTCATGCCGGGCGGGAGCGTCATGCGGGCTGCGAGGCGGTGCATCCCGTCGGCGAGAGGGGCCCACGCGGTGGTGTCTTGGAGTGCCATGGTGGTGGTGCTGGGTTGGGGAAAGGGATGATCGATGCTGCCAAGGGGGAGCGAGGATCTCGAGCTGTCGTCCAGGGTGAGGAGGAGACCGTGGAGGGATCGAGGTCGTGGACCGTGAAGGCTTCGAGGTCGCGGTTGGAGCCTGAGCTGCCTTGAAAGATTACGACGAGGGGAGACGACGCGGGACCGGCCCTGGTAGATATAGGCGAGGTATCACGAGGCGGGTGGGAGAAATGGCCGGCTTGGGGGGGAGACAGCGTCGATGTAGGGCGAAAAGGGCTGTGCGCTGGGACGGGCCTGTCAAGGAGCAGCTAGGCCGGGCGGGGGCGGTGCAAGGTTGCAGCAGGAGATGCAGAGGCCGGGAGGGGGGCCTTGATGGCGCTGAGGAATCGAAGCGAGCCAGAGCAGGAGATGCGGAAGCCGGAACGACGTTGATACCGCTGGAGGTCGAAGGGGCGGAGGGCGGAGGAGGGGGGG